CGAGGGTATAGTGACGCCAGTTTTCAGACTGACAGGGACAACTATCGTTCGCAGTCGGGCTGGGTTTTTACCCTAAATGGAGGAGCAGTAACATGGAAAAGTTCCAAGCAAGAAACCGTAGCTGATTCAACGTGCGAATCAGAGTACATCGCAGCGAGCGAAGCGTCGAAGGAGGCAATATGGCTGAAGAACTTCATCGGTGATCTTGGAGTTGTGTCGGCCATAAAGGAGCCCATGGAGATTTTCTGTGATAACGAAGGTGCGGTTGCCTTGACCAAGGAACCGAGGGATCATGGTAGATCTCGACATATCGACAGAAAATATCACTTCATTAGACATCGCGTAGAAGAAGGACAACTCGTAGTGAAGAGGATATCATCAGAAGATAATCCAGCAGATCCGCTTACGAAGGGACTGAGTAGGGTTAAGCACTTGCAGCATGCTAGGAGTATTGGGCTGAAGGATGATATTAGTGTAGATTAGATAGTATTAGAAACGCATAATAGATAAATGTAATTAACATTTGATGATTAAATAAAGGAGTTTTATTTATGAGTAAAGTTACTATCACATGTTAGTTGTTTAACTATTGTTTCACTTTGCATGTTTTGACTTCCAGAATAATTGAGTTTATTAGGAATAATCGAATTATTCAAATGGTCCACAATCGTTCATATGTTGGGAGTAGATATGAATGAAGATTGTCATGAATTGGTGTGTAGAATGTCTAAATGGTGTTAGACATAGCAAGGGTTGCTGCAACGTTCATGAGTGCTTATGAACTGGTTTTGAGCATTGGAATAAACCCGCGCTTGCTGGAATCACCTTATGGAATACGATATAAAAGGTGATCGCAAGACGATAATATCATATGGTCTTAAAACCTAGATATATGGTTTATTATTTGTTAATTGATTGTGCATTGATAATGCGAAAACGCATCAGTAACTTGATGTTATAAAACGCATTGTTGTGTATAGTTGGTTAATGAATAAGTAAATGCATATAAGTTGAAGTTTATCTGTAGATTTTATCCTAAGAGGATAGAAGAGATATCTTGGCCACTCGATGATTTGATTTGACTTATGTGTCGGGCCCGGTCAGAACTGAATTGATGTGTTCGATTAAGTTCTATGTCAAATAAATCGAAGATCGAGAAATCTAACTGCTAGACTAACCATTCCATAGGATTGTCAGCATGATATCTAACAGAGGACTGTACGATCCCTTATCTAAAGGACAAGGTTGATTAGATCAGAGTTGACAGCGTCTTTGAGAGCTACGATTGCAAACCGTATTATACTTGTATAGTTACTAGACTTATCCAAGTGGGAGACTGTTGGAATAGTGTCTAAGGCTATAACTATATTCGGTGGTGCATGGTCCTTTTGGGTTGCCTTCACCATAGTAACTTGAAGGATGATTTGTATAAGAGAGAGTAAATATTATAAGGAATAATATTTGGCTATTTGATTAATATAAGTCATAAATTAATTGGTATTAATTTGGTGACTTAAAGAGATTAATTAAATAAGAGGGTATAAACTGTCAATTGTTTGATAGTTAGACTTTAGACTGTAAATCCATTGAGATGGACCTTGGACGGATTCTAAGAGCTTTAGGATAGCTCAAATCGTCCATATGGTTATCTATGGAATGGATTTGGATAGCCTTAAGAGAAGATTATCCAATTAGGGTTTAGGGTGAAACCTTAAGGAGTCTACAAGTATAAATAGACCCTATGGGTGAGGGAATTCGACACACAACCTTAAGCAAGGATACTCTGGCCGAATTCCTCCCCTCTCCACTCTCCTAAATCATCTTGCTTGCTATTGGTGTTTGTAAGCCATTAGAGGAGTGACAATTGTGACTCTAGAAGCTCCAAGACAACAAGATCAACAAGGAACTCAAAGGTATGATTCTAGATCTGTTTCATCATTGTTATTTAACCTAATTAGCTATTAGAAGTCTTGGATTCAAAGCATGTTTATTAGAAAGCCTAGATCCGAGCAATAGGGTTTTGCATGCGCACATAGGAAAGTTCTTATGGCTAAAACCCAACAACACGCTCCACCAACAACTTAGACAAAGTGTAAAGTGTAATTTCATGGATTAGCACCTTATTCACATTTTCCTAAAGTAACTAACATTGGGAATTTAATAAAACATTTAGTTACTTTATAATATTCATCATACTTTGAATGAGAGTTTATAAGTCCTTGTCTTACCCGTTCGGCTAACGACCCTCCACCAGTCAAGCAAGCGGTGGGTGAGAGTAGACACCCATTAAGTCACCATTTTATAGGCAACAACCTTATACCCACCTTATAGACCGGCTTCGTGAATGAGGCGTACTAGCGGTAAGACGACTTTATTCTTATACATATATATAATTAATAAATCATCATAATATAAGTATAAGGGTTGAATTTTAACTTTTAAAATTCTAGGGGTTGGAACTAAAGTTTTAACTTAACTTTACTTGTTCCAAAACTTGAGGGCAAGTTTTGTAACTTTCAAAACTTTTCATTTCTTGTAACTTATGAGTTTAATAGAGTAATAAAATGAAGACTCTTCATTTTTCTAACTCTTGTGTTTGTTTTAATGGTTTTAATTCAAGTGTGACTCTTGGTTTTCCATAACTTGATGACAAGTTATGGACTCCATTAAAACACATTATGATCAAGAATTAATCTACCACATAGGTTACAAATAATTCCTATGATCATCTAAAACATCATAAGAACAAGAACATGAATATGAACTTATTCATAAATCAAAACTTACACTTAAAACTTTGTAATTTTGATAACTAGTTGTTGTAAATGAATTATCAAAGACATTACACCATCTAAAACAAGTTTTTCAAGTACCAAAAAGTTTAGGGTAATGTTTCTAATTCATTTCCAGCAACTAAATCGAAATTCTGCAATCAGTCGACCCTACTCGCCGAGTGCATGAACTCACTCGTCGAGTTGGTTGAAGATACACATGAACTCTACGAGTCCCCCCTATAGACTCGACGAGTCCACTCGCAGACAGCAAGATTTTCGACTTTTTTTTCAACTTTTAAGCACAAATAAAAAAACAAACAAGCCTAGGCTCTGATACCACTGATGGGTTTTGAGCATTCTAACACTTCCTAAGTGTACATGCAACCCTAATAACCTTGGATCTATGTTTGTCTAATTATCATGCAAAGTTGAATTCCAAGGTTATATTCCTATCTAGCATACATGGGGAACAATTTTAACTTAAAGTATAAATAGAATAACTTACCTTGTTGTTGTTTGTGTTCCTTGAAACCTTGTGAGCCTAGCACCCCAAGTGTGATGCCTCAAATGCTTCACACAACACCAAATGCTCTTGGAAGAACTTATGAGAGAACACACACTTCTCAAAAATTGGCCAAGCCCTCTTCTTTCTTAGTGTAACCGATTTTGGTGGAGAATATGTTTCTTATATAGTGTTGACACATCTAGGGTTAAACCCTAATGTGTCATGACTCTTCATTTCCATGACCCATGGGTTTGTAACTCCCATGGAGCATCCTATGGGTGGAACCTAACTTGATAATCCATGGAGCCTCTTAGCCCACTATACAAGATATGGATGATTTACATAATCAACCCATATATTTAATTAGTTATCTTTTAATCACATAATTAATTCTAAATTAATTCTTGATCAAACTAATCAAATAATATTATTAATATATTAGAACTTATAACATATTAATAATCTCCAAGTGTTATTTCTCTCATTTAGTCTATCCAATTGCACGGTGCCATGCAACCCAAATGGACCATGCCGGGTCGGGTCAAGTATATACCAGAAATAGTTATGGACTTAGACACCTTATCCAACAATAACTCTGTTTTGGCACCTTCTGAAATGAATATATGTGATCAAACATGACTTTTGCCTCAATTGTTTCATAGTTGTATTGCTTTGAAGGATCTCCTTTTTCCAAACCCACAGGGTCTTGTGCACGAAGAGTCATAATACTTTGCACAAGCCTCATCCTTTCCAACTCCGCATTCACTTCAGCCTTCTTTTCTTCCTTAGTCTTTTCAATGATTATGGCTTTACCTTTATCTTTAGATCCAGACTCTCCCACCACAATCTTTGGTTTCGAAGCACTTCCAGTAGCTTCTCCAATCACAACACCTTTTAGAACTGGTCTAGTTATTGGAAATGTTGTGACCACAGTTGAAGTAACTAAACCAGCTGATACAATAACTGGCTTTGTAGTTGGGATCTTCAAAGGGAACACTTTTCCTACCATCTTTGAATCTTCTTTGCTCACCTTTACTTCTTCACCAGTCTTGTTCAATTCATCAATATTTTCTCTGCCTTGCACTCCTGTGAAAGAAAGTGAGGCATATGATATTGTAGGAATAAGACTTGAAATGCGAGTAAGAGGAGATAATTGTTTGTGAACAATAGCTTCGAACTGGATGAATTTTTGAGATAAAAACTCTGGAGTGAGAATCGAAGTGGATACAGGCTTTACAGACAACTCCTTCAGCTCTTTTAACAACACCATCAACTCACCAAAATTCTTTTTTTCTAATTCAAAAAGGTGAGTAAGTTGAGGACTCATGCTTTTGTATAATTTGACAAATTTGGTGACAGCATCACAAATAATGTCAACCTTTTGATTGAGTGAAGCATAATCCTATTGAACAGTTTGAACTTCTCTCTACATGTCTTCACGAAGTTCACGAATTTGCAGGTTCACATCTTCGCGTACCTTCTTGACTTCTAAGAACATGCCTTTCTTTTGTTATGTTTTTCAAATCCTTCCCCTCTCCCATACAATTAGATCTTTGAGACTTAACACGAAGTTCATTAGTCTAATCAGTATAGTCAACCTTCTCCAAAATAATTGATTAGAAGCTTTCACCATGCCAGAGACTTTGTTGATTATCCTTAATTCCATCAGTTTTAACATAGTATCAACTTCCAGACTTGATACTGATGAACCTCCCCCAAAATCAGCTTGAGATTGAATGATAACATTCAACTTCGTATTCAAAATTTTGTACTGCTTCATAGTCATCAACATATGATCTGGAAAATTTTCTTCTTCTTCATCAAACTTTAGATCTTCAAAGGTTCCTCCAAAACCTTCATTATCAGTTTCATTTTCCAGCATCATTGTATCATCAACAGGTGAAGTAGGTTTGGGTGGATCAGTAGATTGCAAAGAAAAGATGGAAGTGAAATGGGTATTGATTATGTTGTGGAATGTGGGTGAATCAGTTGTAGAAGTTACGGAAGGTAAAGATACAAGAATATCAGAAGTGACATTAGGAGTACCTTGAGCAGCAGTCTTCGTACCTTCTTCACCCATATTAACATTTGTATCCATATTAGATACGTCTAGAGTGATGTCAGAAGTTTGTGTCGCCTCATGAGATGACTTGACATGCGAAACTTCGGGTGGAATAACACTGATGTCTTCAGGAATCGAACCTTGTTTGACAAGATCATCTTCTGAAGTTTTAGGAATTCTTTCTTCATCTTCTATGGAAGTAGTTGCGATGATAAGTTTTCTAGATTTCTTCTTCTTCTTTTGTGTCAATTGTTTTGCCACATCTTCAGCCCTTCGTTTCTTTGATGATGGAAAAACAGGCGCTGGAACTTCCCTAAATAATACACCTTGATGTGTATGTTGTGGTTTACGAACAACCTGCGGTGAAGATTTTCGAGACTTCATTTTAAATCTATGAAAAACCCTAGTCTTCGAAGGGATTGTTTCTTTTTCTTGGGTTTCTTCAACAGTAGGAGAATGAACTGATTCTGTAACAGCAATAGAGACATCCTGTTGTACAATTTTTTTGGGTTTCGTCTTAGGTGATTTCTTAGGCTTTGTTTCCTTCACCGTTTTTTCAAAAGAACCATCATCATCCTTCTTCCCCCTTTTCGATTTCTTCGTCTCCTTTTCCAATAAAACACCAGTTTGCACTGTTGTATCTATTGTTTGTAGATAAGCCAACAAAACAGAGTTCGAAGGATTAACTCATTTTAGCATTGCATCAGGGATACGAGCAACACTTGGGAATTCATCTGCATTATCAATCACCTCCTTTGGAATGCTATAGACATGAAAAGTGGCTTTTTCATCTTCATTGTCTATCAAAATACCTTCTTTGTTAGAAGTACTGCAAGATCAAACTCCAGTATCTTGCACATGAAATACCACGAACAGCATCTGTGTTGTTAACACTGTTCTTGAGCTCCTTCCATAATTGTGAAGCATAATTCACTGGTAAATCATAGTATAGCCCTGCAACCATGGCGTATACCTCCATTCTTCCTTTATCTAAGCCCACTGTTCTTCCAGTTAAGCAACGTAAAAAGATTCCAAAAAGAAAATTCCAAATTGTAGGAAGACCCGATTTCTTGAAATCACTGATTTTGGATAGTGGTGGTTGATGTCCCATCTCGTTGAACATATAGACAATTTAAGGATAAGAGAAATCCTCATACGGTGGAGAATTTGGAATATCAAGAATCTGACAGAAGAGTTTATGTGTAAGTCTAACCTTCTTGTCATTGATTAGGTTAAACGTGATTGCATCAAAGGCTTTAGCAACTGAAGCTGTAGATCCTGCCTGAGATAACCAAGAAATCAGTATAGAAAAAGAATGAAACATGGCCTTGGATAAAACGGAACTCTTCATGGCAATTACGAGCATCTTCAATTCTTCAGGGTACTTAGATACATCAGCTTCAACTTGATAATTGGTACCTTGGATCTTCATAATCGGCATGGAAGTAATATCTTCTGTAGTTTGTGAAGGTTCGGCAGTAACAATAACAGTATTTGCCATTGTTAGGGTTTTGAAAGCTTAAAAACTCAGAGAGAATTGAGAATTATCTTTGAATGCGTAAAGTGATAAAAGACCCTTGAATCCCCTTTTATATGTAACCCTCATGTTTGAATTAAAAGCGGGATGTGCATTTAATGACAGTTAACGTGGCACCATGAAAACCGGACCATACTCCGTAAAAATAGCCATGCATCAAAAAGTAACTACCCCATCACTGTAAAACTTGGACACGATATCATACGTCATTAAAATACAGCCTGTTTTGTTTGCTCCAAGAGAATTGTAACCATCGGACCCCTTCGGATGGAAGTTAGGCTCTTTCACTTTTGGATGAAAATCAAAGTCATATGCCAGATGTTTGAAATCATCAGCCTGAGTTGGTGTTACTCAGAACCTCAAGGATTTCATGAGTGCAGTGTTCCAAAGAAAGTAAGACAAGAAACAATGTAATAAAAATTTTGGGATTCTGTGATGTCAAAAAGTTAAGTTGACACGAATGCAGTTAAACCCTGGGCAAAGGTTGTTTCATTAATCATAAAGAAAGAGGATCAACAGCTTGTGTATGTTCCCGTTAATTACAATCGAAAACTTGTAGAGAAGTTTCGAAGGGTATCTTTTGTAAGGCTACATAGGTGGCTTAATAAATTTCGTTACATGTCAGCCTTAACATAAGGTGAGTAACTATAACAAAAATTACTTGTTTGACCAGTGTAGTCAGTGACAAGTGTGCTTTGAAAAATGTTGAATGTGACTTTGGGATTCGAAGTAAACTCACACGGAAATCATATTCATGAAAAAAAAAATGTGATGGATCTTGTTGGGTAACAAACACCGTGGGTTTTGAATGTTTGATCAAGATCACTCATATGAAATGAATATGATTTGGAGTTTTGAAAATAGGTACTGAAACAAAAGGTTCGTAAAGTCTGGAACATAGTTCCCCGTTAATTCCTTAATTTGAAAGAAATTTGGGTTTCACTTTCATCACGGTCTCATGATGTCAGATCATTAACACAGATCGTTGATATGTCTAAGTCTCGATTGGTTTGATTAGAGATCTCTTGGACATATGTCTTCATGTGTGATCGTGAAAGAAATTTTAGATGAAAAAGTTTGGTGAAGATCTGAAGTGTACCTCTGTTATATTTGGACAAAACAGTAAACTCTTTACTCATATGAGAAGAGTCAAGTAGCTCATGAGACTAATATGAATATAAGCCTAATTGGGAAGAAATTTTCGTATGAAAAGTTCATTAAGGATTTCATACACACACATTGAGTCATTGGAGGCTTCGGACAACATGCAGCAGCATGCTTCTAGGGACATCTTAACTAGTCCAAAGTAAATAAAATGTAAAGAGTTGTAAGATTCATTTACCTGACCCTAGATCTGCAAGCATGTGACTCTTCATATGTTCAGAAAGATCTGCAACAAAGTACTTAAAAGAAGAAAAATTATAAAATCTTTTTGTTGTTTTGAATTGTCAAAAATAAAAAACAAAATAAAATGAAAATCTTTTTGATGTTTTTGATTTTTTTGAAAATGAAGAACAAAAGAAAATGAGAATATTTTTGATGTTTTTGAATTTTTCGAAAATGAAATTACTCAAATAAATGATAGTAGTTGTTGCAAACATACGGCATTTTACCAATTCCCTGAAAAGTGACAATCATACGAATGCGAAGCGTTCGAAGAGTTGACTATGAACAGTAACCTCTGAACACTGAATGATGACACATTATCACTGATTCAGATCCTCTGAACCATTCTCAATTAGTCATTATTCTCCTTTTTCGCATGGAATTGAATTTCCATCGATCATTCTCAGTCCTTCCAGAATTCGTACAAACGATTTTTCATCCAAAGCTTTTGTAAAAATATCAGCTAACTGATCATTTGTTTTTACAAAATGTACTTCAATATTTCCATCTTTCACGTGATCTTTGATGAAGTGATAACAAAGAGCTATATGTTTAGTCTTCGAATGTTGCACAGGATTATGACAAATTCTTATTGCACTTTGTGAATCAAAATATAAATGAATCTTTTTCATATTAATTGCATAATCACGTAATTGACTTTGAATCCAAATTATCTGTGAAGTGCAGGCAGCAGCAGCAGCAACATATTCAGCTTCAGCCGTTGAAATGGATACACATGTTTGCTTCTTCGATTGCCAACTCACTAGTTTACCATCAAGTAACTGACATCCTCCAGTCGTGCTTTTCCTATCCAAAGTACAACCACCCAAATCTGCATCTGAATATGCTTGAATAAAGAGCCCAGTATTCGAAGGATACCACAATCCTAACGAAACAGTTCCTTTGAGATAACGAAAGATGTTCTTCACAGTAGTGAGATGTGGTTCTCAAGGATTTAATTGATACCTAGAACAGTTACACACAGAAAACATGATATCAGGTCTACTTGTTGTTAAGTAAAGTAAAGATCCAATCATGCTCCTGTATAGAGGTAGGTCAACAAATGGTTTATCTAACGAAGGAGTTAGTTTTATGCTGGTTGCCATTGGTACTCGTAACTTTGTGTTATTCATCATCCCAAAATTTTCCAGTAAGTTCTTCGTATATTTTTCTTGATTTATAAAAATACCTTCTCTATTCTGACGAATGTTTAAACCAAAAAAATTGTTAATTTTACCCATCATGCTCATTTCGAGTTTTCTCTTCATCAAGTCTTCGAATTCTTTAGACAAAGCATGGTCAGTTGAACCAAATATGATATCATCAACATAAATTTAAACAAGCATTAGATGATTCCCAATTTTCTTACGAAATAATGTGGGATCAACTGATCCTTGTTTAAATTTAGATTGCTTCAAAAATGAAGTAAGAGTTGCATACCAGGCTCGTAGAGCTTGTTTTAACCCATAAACTACCTTATTTAGAATATAAACATGATTAGGATGTTCTTCGTTTACAATACCTAGGGGTTGTTCCACATAGACTGTTTCTTCAAGTTCGCCATTAAGAAATGCACACTTCATATCCATTTGATAAACATCAAAGTTTTTGTGAGATGTATAAGCCAAAAATATACGAACAGCCTCGAGTCTTGCGACAGGGGTAAAAGTTTCTTCATAATCAATTCCTTCTTGTTGAGAGTATCCCTTAACCACAAGTCTGGCTTTGTTTCGAATGATATTTCCATCTTTGTCAGTTTTATTTTTAAAAATCCACTTTAATCCGACAATTGAAACATTTTCAGGTTTAGGAATTAATCTCCAAACCTTGTTTCTTTTAAATTCAAAAAGCTCAGATTGCATTGCAACAACCCAATCAGAGTGTTCCATTTCAACCTTAACATTCTTTGGTTCAATCTTAGAGATAAAAACATTAAACATGCAAAATTCTTGATGAATATTTAATACCTAATCCTTTGCACGAAGCTGAGCTCTTGTCAACACTCCTTCTTGTGGATTTCCAATGATTTGTTCCTTCGGATGACTTTTAGTCCATTTTTCCATTGGATGGTATGCTGGATCAAAATCCAAAGGTGCATCTTCAAACATTTCATCATTTTCTGATCCGGCAATCGAACAAACATCGTTAAGATCCTGAAAATCTTCATCATTTTAAACATGCTCCCCCTCAACAACATCAGCAATTTGCTCATTATCCCCCTCGAATGAATGCTCCACCTCAACTAGAGTATTTGAATCCATATGCTCCCCCTCCACTCGATCATTTTGCATACGTTCGTCTATTTCTTGAGGATTTGATGTTGATTCATCAGTAAACTTCGCAAATTCTAGTATGTGATTATCAGGAGCATGAATTTCAGCATCAACTACATGATCTGAAATTCCAAAAATCAATATCATTCATTTGTAAAGATTCGTTTTCAACTTGTGTTTCTTGTAAAATTGGGGGATTTGCAAATGTATGATCATTTTGTTTAACATAGTAATCATCGAATGTGAGATTGAAAGTTTCCTCCACTTTTCGTGTTCGCTAATTTAACACACGAGATGCAACAGAATTGTTCAAATATCCAAGAAAAATCCTTTCATCAACTTTTGCTTGAAATTTCGAAAGATGATCCTTGAGATTCATAATAAAGCACCTACATCCGAAAACATGAAAGAATTTCATATTAGGTTTACGATTATTCAGAATTTTGTAAGGTGTAATATTAAAACGTCTGTGTGGGAAAGATCTGTTCTGAGTAAAACATGCAGTGGATATTGCCTCAACCCAAAGATATTGAGGTAAATTCGCATATGCCAACATGGTTCTTGCTGCTTCACATAGTGAGCAATTTCTTCGTTCAACAGCTCCATTTTGTTGTGGAGTATATGGAGAAGAAAAATTATGCAAAATGCCTTTGTCCACCAAAAATGAATCAAGAACATTGTTCTTAAATTCAGTGTCATGATCACTCATGATTTTGCGTACAGTCTTTTTCAATGTTGTTTCCATTTTCTTGATAAAATCAGTCATGATTTGTGCCACTTCGG